AAGAGAAGTGAATCACAAGATAAACTTACCAGCATAAAACCAAGACTTTTAGGATTCCAAGTGTTAAATTTGTTTTTATCTGACCAGCTCCGGGGAATATAACCTAACCGAATGAAGAAGTCATCATCTGGATTCATTGACAGCCACCACCCTTTTAAGAGAGAAACAAATGATACGTTACGGTTCTGTGTGCGCAAAACGGATTCAATGAAACTTATTTTTTAAATATACAGGGTTGTGTAACTCAGTTGAGAAAGCAGGGCACGACCGTCAGCCAATCAATGTCTCTTCCATGCCAGACTGCAAAGCTTGTCACGTGATTTACTATTGGTATTCCCCTTCCGGCAGAGGCTTTTAATCAATTGAGTTTTATGCCATTGCAATAGTTCAAGAAAAGCTATTTGGTATAATGAACAAATTAGCTATATTCAAGTTGTACATTAGAACATTGCAGTCAATTTAGTATTTTCTTTTTATGAAATTGAAAAAAAAAAATCTAGTATCTATCTAAGTATAGATATCTCTCACATACATACACATTATATAATTGCAAACAAATTAATTTGCAAAGTTTCAGCATTTAAGCATGTATAAGTAATTAGAAATTTGATACTTTTATGACATTGCTATTGAGCCGGGCATTTTCCGTTTTATATTCGAGTATTCAGGTCTACCACTACGCCCGTGTGCCAGGTAATAAATAGAAGAACGTATTGTGCTAGTCTCACGTTACTTTGGGACTAACATGAATAAGAATGAAAACCTTAACATTTAATAAAGTTAAATATTTACGTTTAAAAACATGAAAACTACGATAAACACAATGTCCTTTCCTATATAGATAGAAAATGTCATGCAGACATACCCATCTGGTGGAGTGAAATAGGGCCAGACAACTTGTATCTTTAAACTCTTGGTAACTGGTACCGTGGTGGCGGAGAGAATTCCTTGCGTATCGCTTCAAGATTTATTGTAAATACAATTATAGCGCATGGCCTAAAATAGGGGATGGGTTTAGTCTGGTCTTCACCGACATACCTAGGTAATCCGATTCACGACCCATTCACTCATTACAATTCGCACATTCATCATAAGAACTCATCCGTCATCAATCAATCAATCCTCCATATACCATAATGCCGCATACTCTCAAAAACGCACCTCATGATATAAAACTTAGATGATAAAATTTTTAATACATAAAAATCTAATGATTGACAATGAGAGGGGAGAGGGATGAACCCCAAAAACTAAATATCAAATCAAAGTAAAATAAATATAATTGATGTTAGGACTCGTCCATCCCTCAAAAATGAGAGGCCGCTGTATTCTGCCCTACGCCAGAATAAAGAAGCTCCCTCGAGGGAGAGGGAAAGGAGAAAATATAGACGGACATGGGTAATCAATAAAAATAACTCAGTTGAAATGAAAGGGAGGTCAAAAACAAAATGGAGAGGTTGGGGATCTCAACTTGGATCATAACCAACGATGTGGCTGGCACAACACTTACATTAACTAGGTACACAAAACTTGTCTAACCTAACCAGGGGAGGGCTCCACAGGAAGCCACAACGATGTGACAAAGAAAAAAAGAGAAAAATCAAGGTTAGCTCCGTTCACACGAATAAAGCTCGCCTCAGTCACCAATCTTTCGCTAAAGACTGTCGAATGCAAGCGTTTTCTATCAGTTCTAATTTTCATCTTGAGCTGATGCTCAAAGAATCGGATCCCATCCTGATGGGAAAGACGGTTACCTTGCAAGACTTCCTGTCGCTCCGTCCAAATCACCATTCGGACCGTGGCCAGTAACATTAGAAACACTATTCGTTTCACCCCAGAGTACAGAGGCGACATCCTTGCGTATCGCTTCAGAGTAGATCCGAATCTCCTTTTCGTGGTTTAATTAACCATTGAGGGACCGCCTCATGTGACCTATCTCTATATGGGACCGGGTGAATTTTACAGGCCCAACAAACGTTGGAAGGGGGAGTGCGAATAGTAAGTCATTATGTCTAATTTCCCTTGTACGAGAAGTCTTAAACTGGGTAAAAAAGCGTTAAACAGCTTATGCCTTTGCCACTAATAAATTTATATAATTTTTTTTTTAAAGAGACGGAAATGTAGACATTTCCTCTCCCACAAACCCTGACATTTACGAAATTAAGTTAAATCGCAACTTAAAATTGCAAATATAAAACTTACCATCATAAGTATGTATCGGATTGCTGCAGAGTAAACTGCCAGTCACGTAAACCGACTTCAGATCTTCGCTGCAGTACTTCGAGCTTTGTTTGGGACAAAACATACCTGATGGAAGAATAAGAATATTATTTTTGCTAAATAAAAGTAAATCGTACTGTAGCGAGAGAAGTTATGACTTTATACTTTAACGAATGAAGCTGATATCTTTCAGTTTTACATTTTCAGAAGTAAATTCAATTAGGAGGATGGATAAAAGACCAGAAGAAAATATTTCAACTTATGAGAACTTAATATAAAAAATAAATCAGGTGTGCTTTGCAATGTTTACATTTACTTTAGTACGTCTATATATTATTAGGTACCTCCATGAATTTTTAAAAATGAAAGATTTCCTGAAGCTTTCAATTTAGCTTTAAATGAACGCTAAAGAATTTATGATACCCGGAAAGCAAAATACTTTGGTGTATTTCAGACAAAAGTTATATTGATTGGAATAGACTTATGCAGTAAAATCGATAACTGCAGACATTTAAGCAAATCTTAATTTTCCGTTTTAAAAAAATATTTCAAAAATAAAATATTTCTGAAACGTTATTTGAGAAAAATTAGCAAATTTAAAGTTAAGTTAATCTGATTTGAAACAAATATTTTACTTATAGCATAATGTTGTATACATGCATTTCTAAGCACGGGGTCTCGTTTTTCTGCGGTAATCTATTTACTGACGGCGGATTGACTGCCGAACCTATTCATAGTTAACTATGGCGTAGCAGACGATAAATTTCTATAGGGTTGTTTTTTCTCCGTAAGTGGTGATAGCCACTAATAAAATTAGTGAAATTTCACACCTTGATGCAAAATGATTTTCGGAAAATAGCAAACTAGGAAACATTTAGAAACATAATTCAAGTCTTCAATTCTCAGAAAAATTATTTTACGGACCTTTTCGCGAGCCGACGCGAAGTTTGTTCGTCGTCCAATGGAGAGACCCGAATCATATCCGGGAGTGAATTCCCAAATGACCTTTTCAAACCCCACAAACAAAATAAAGACGGGCAAGTTCGCCTGTCAGCCGAGAGGAGACGAGCGTATTAACACGTCCCTTGACAAACGTCTAGCGATCGTTATTATATCTACCTTTCTCCCTCACCTCTTTTATACTTGATAAACGAATGGAAGATTTTAAGACTGAGCGATTACTTCATAGACATTCCTACCCTACGATAACGCTCACACATACGTTCCTGCCTACGTACACAAACTCATTCTTGCAAGGACTATTACGAACATTGACGACCTTGTATCAACCAAAATACATTAATTTTATTTGTAAAGACCTAAATTGATTTATATGTATATAAATTTGTTGTTTCACTTTACAATTTGATTTTCTTGTTTTATACCCCTCTTATGGTGGGCTAACTAACAAGGTCAAATCAAACTAATCCGTTTCAACACTCACTTCACTATACCACCATATATATTTTATGTGGATATATATATTTTGTTTATATATATATATATATATATATATATATACACACACACACAAAGAAAAAATGGAGGGAGAAAGCATTTATTTCTAAGTGTAGTAGCTGCCTCTTTGATATGTGAGAAGGTATTGTTTTTAAAATGTATTAGTTCGGTGCTAGCCGTTTAAAGTCGTCAGTCACGTAAATCCATTTCGTCTGTGTATTTTGCGATGATCGTAGCTTCGAAAAAGGGACAATTCATCGATTCTGGTTGATTTCTCATCTGGTTATATCCACTTCGAGAAGGCCGCTCTGCTTCTTGACACGCGGTCATACATCTTGGTTGTAAAACTATTTTTTGTTGGTCAAAAAATGACATTTTAACCTGGTAATTCTTATCCGTCTATCAGTGCTTTGTAACCCTCGCTATCTTAACATTTGCTTTTTTTTCTACCTAAATTTATAGGTTACAAATTAAACTAAGCACAACAATATTAAAAGGATGAACAATTTTCGGATTTTGACGTCATTCTAGAGTCTTTCCAATCTAAATTCGTGATAGTTTTGCTCATGCTAACTTACGGAAAAAAACGTATAAAATTCAGTACTTTTTTTATCCATAATGTTGAACCTTTTTAGAATTATTCAAGAAAATTCAAGTTGATGTTAAAAATTACAAAACATTTGAGGGAATGAACTATTGCGACATGTCTAATTTGTATTTAGATATATTGAATTTTTCTCGTCGAATTGTTCACCTAGATTGCATATGATCAATTGTACATAATTAGGTTATAATATTTGTATTTCATGCGAATACTACCTAATGAAAATGGAGATGTAGAGTGGGATCTCTTAGATTCGGAGGTGGGGAGGGACGAGACTTTCACCAGCTTTCGACTAGCAGACGTATTTGTGCTCGGAGAACGAGTTGCTAAACGTTAAACGGCACACTCGAATGAGGTCCTTCCATACTCATTGTAATTGTCACTCCCGCAACACTCCAGTCAGCATTTTTACGCTAAACAGACAGTTTTCCATCTAAAAAAGATAACCGGCTTTGAAGAGAGAATGATCTTACTCAATTTGAAGATATTTTCAGTTTCCCGTATTAGCTCAAAAATCTCCAAACTAAAAAGCTTCTTGTTCCGCATTACATTCGAGATACTCAACAAGTAACCTCTCGTAGCAAGCATGGATACCTGTTCGTACCAGCCGTGTACCTCAAACGAAATCTACTTCTATAGAAATGTCAAGTAAAAAAACTGGAGATATGAACAAAACGTAGACAATCAAAATACACAAGTTTGTTGGTGAATCTTTTACCAGGAATTGACAACGACATGTAAACAGCCTCGCGTATACTCATATCTGGAGTAGTTTTTCTGTGCCAATATTCAGCACGCATTGCATTGACGTTAGTCACAACGACGCAGAGTTCTATAGAGGTTCTTTCGTACAACTGAAAGGAGAAAAAAAAAAAAAAAAAGAAAAAGGAACTTTAACAAAAGATGATTAGGGAACAAAGTATACGTAACCCTAAAACGCTCACCATAAAGTTACACCACTACTAATCATGGGTATATCATACCCGATTTTGAAACTATCAAAAAAAAATTATTTGAAATATTTTACATGCAAGCACTTAAAGCTTTGTACTTTAAGTTAACATTAAGAACTGAAAAAAACATTTAGGTAAGAAAATCAGGTACTGAAAATTGTAATTAAAAATAGGAAAATTTGCGCTGGGTACTATATACCCATGCTTAGTGTTCTAGGGTTAAATAATTCTTTAAATACGCTGTTTTCAGTGGCGTAGCTAAGGGGGGACGAGAGGGGCGGACCGCCTCGGGTGCCAGCACAAGAGGTGACAATGTCACCCCCAACAAAATTTTAAAACTAGGCTAAGGTGCCAAAAATAGTCTGAAAACAGTGGTGGGGAGACAGGGTTTCGCAGACGGGCATATGACCCCCACCCCCCAGAAATAATTTATTCAAGTTTGCCCATCTTTCGCTATTAATTAATTTAGACGCTTGCTAAATATCACTGTACGGCGGGCGCTTTCAAGATATGCAATGTAATGTCCACCCAATACAAGTCCAAAGAGCCATTCAAGGTAGAGGGTTACTGTATGGTGCTGTATTAACCTAAGCAAAATGCGCATTTTATGAGGTTATGTAGGAAAGATAAGCGTTGACCTTAAACTTGAAGACTGTAGTGATTGGAAAGACATCCAGCCAGGTAGGACTGTTCCACAAAGAAGCAAAGCAATTCTTGGGAAAAAGTTGTCCAACTGGAATTTATCGCTAATCGAATACGTAGAGAATAGGGGATGGTTTTCATCGTTTACGTGGCATGACGAGCCCCCAGTTGTAAAAGTCATAGCTAGTAGAACCAAGAAATGTTGCTAGTCAGAACACTTTCAATGAAAATAGCGACAGAGTAGCGAGAGGCTTGTGAGGTTTCCTTTGGGGAAGGTGGTGTAAGGTGGAAACAATCAGTCACCCACGATGCCGCGTAGACGCATTTGGACAATCAAGACTGGCAAGTGAGAATTGGGTAGCTCCAGCCCACGTATTGCAGCAACGCTATTTCTGGCTCTTCTACAGAGTATAGCAATAGGAGTCAACATATTGAACAGTTTAAGGAACAGCCCATTTTCCCAGCATCTTTAGCAGTAGATCGACACTCATGATGGTTGAAACTTCAGGATCTGTGATGGGAGGAACGTTAGATTTGTTTTGTATTGAATGTATTGAATTTTACAAGCCAGCCCTAGGTCAGAGATCAGCCGATATGTTCTGTTCATCCAGATTTTTTTTTTATAGGGTGGGGATCTATGAACTGTATCATCCGGATAGATATTCACTAATTATCGGAGTCTGAGCTTAGGTAGATGATTAATATAGAGCAGAAACAGGTATTCGGAGTTTTGAAAAAAAAGCCGTGTAACCAAAAGGCGTCACTTACACGATGGCGGGGAATGCTATAAGTTTTCGCTCGTCCGGAGAAGCTACCAGTACACCTAGGCGAGTATGTAAACTTTTACAAATATATACGTACATAGAATTGTCAGAATTTTTGATGACTAAATTTGAATACTGGACAAACAGTTCGTGTTCATTTCGCACTAACATTGAGCAATCAGTCATCCATTTTCAGCCTGCCTCTCAATTTATAGGCTTGTCGGTTATCTCTCTACATAGCTTTGGCAAACAATCATTAGGTGGCGCTGTCAAGCCTCTACAAAAAAGGACATTTCCTGTTATCGTTTTTATTTTCCTGACATGCAATAAACGGCAACTCCAATGGGGCCTTGCTCTCCGAATATGGAGAACGCTTTCCCCTTAGTGACCGAACTTACGATTCCCAACTTGTAATGTCTTCACTTTGCATGTTAGTGTATTTTTTTTTTTTTAATTGGTTATATATATATATATATATATATATATATATATATATATATATATATATATCTCGCCTTGTTTAAATTCATTCCATTAAACCAGACATTTATATCTGTGCAAAATAATATTGCTACTGCTTTTAGTCTAATTAGCTGTAGTGCTGCAGCAGTTTAAATCAGACCGCCCTAGCATCAGTTGGCAGCTTGTATAATAGACCAAGAACTACATTCAATATTGGAGAAGGCAATAGAAAATAACTTCACTATCTTCTAGATCAAAACTTACCATGGGAGTCCATGGATGAGTTTCAGGGTGTCCGTGAAGATCAGATAAAAGTTAATTGCTATACAGTCCTTGTCACAACCAACGGTTTCCCATCGAAAGAAATAAAAGAAAATGCATCCTGCCACTACTTAGAGTGCCGACACTTATTGAATTGTTACCATTTAGGCGAGGTTATTTGATGCACAACCGCCATCTTTTGCTACTCCATAAGAGCAAGTGATAATTCATTTTCCACGGTTTATAACGGAATGATTCTTATATACAGGTGTTGATTAATTGACCACAATTTCTTTCAAGCGTAGCTGGCTGAAAAGTGATGTATGCATGAAGATGCACTATGGAGAAATGCATGTACAAATGTTGTGAAAAAAACCAGGCTGAGTATCTGTATGAAGGGCCAGTTATAAGAGTCCGTGACTCAAAAAAGGTTAAGAACCACTATTCTATATAATATTCACGGTAATACTTCGTTCTGATGCGAAAGTTGCAGAGTCATTATCGCTTATATCACGTAGGGACACAAGCTGTAAAAAGTCGTTTCAACTCTTGGTTAAAGTCGCCGTCGTGACGACCGAGTTCACTGTGCTATTTTACTTGTGCAGAACACTATTTCCCGTGCATTAAATATTGCACGATGACATTTAAGTTGAACATCTAAAACCTAATAAAAAAGTTCAATACAAATACAAGGACCAACAGGATATAGTGTCGATGTCAAAAATCGCAAAACAATCTGAATTTTTTTATTTACAAACTCTGCAAAGTAATCATTCACCATTATTTTTCTCCTTGCAGAGATTCTATTTTCTCTATGGACCAAGGTCAACCTAGTTGATTAGTGCGATTATGGAAATACACGATTAATGAGCTTATGTCAATGTTTGGCAGAACAGATTAGTAGATATAACAAAAAGGCAAGCTTTACTAAGGGCTACAAAGGACAAGAGGTTGTAGAAAGCCATGATCACCCAATAATACGTCACAGTAAGTAAAGACTACTGCATTTTCTTATATCATCCACGATATTTCTATCTTACAAGAACTACTTTATGTAAGAATACATTTTTTTTTAAATTGTATGTTTGATTTAAATTGTCTTTCGATTATCTAACATTTAAAGTTTTATTGGTTTGTTAGTGTACTCCGATTCCCCACCCCTTAAATCCCGAGTAATCTAAAATTCAAAAGGCAAGTAGAAGTCTCAGGAACTCTTCCCCAAACAGTGACAATTTGTTTACTTACCTCCAGAAAAGTAAGATCAGCTTCGTTGCATCTGTTGCTCAGAATATTACCGAGCATTTCGTACAATTTGTCTCCTGGATTCCAACCCAATTTTCTCACTATGTTTGGCTTGTAGTCAGGGTAACTTGTGGGATCACCTTAAATTGACAACCACAAAAAGGCAGACAGCGTTTCATTTATTTAATGAAAAAAAAATAAAAATAAAATAAAATAAAAAAAATAAAAATAAAATGAAAATCATACCTGCTTTCGTAGGTTCCGCCTACGATTAGCGTATCGTTCTCCAAGATGAAAGTTTTCCACTGTTGGATTACTGACTACCAGACGTCTCAATTACCTTTCTTCACTATGAATTGAGTCATCTGGCAGTCGGTAATGCTTATATCACGTATATAATGGGTTAAAATTCCCTCTCCGTAGCGTGCGCTGATGGTTCAAGGTTGAGACTCCAGCTGATAAAGTTAGGATTCGGGTTTCGCTCCCGGTTTAGAGCAATTGAGTCACACTGATCTGATACAGCGAAACTGTCCGGATATAATTTTTTTTTTCCTTGTTTGGACTTGAAATTACGATACTGGGCGATTTTTTCGGCCTACTCACATGTTTTTGGTCTTCTCTCTAAATCCACCCCCAATACAGATACCAATTTTAAAATATTTTATTTGCAAATTGCACTATCTTTAACAAAATAGACATTGTACCTTTGGTATCCTTTTGACCAACGCTTTTTCAAAAAGGTATTCGTTGGCGATATACAACACAAGACAATTATAGCGAGTGAGGAGTGACAATTGGAACGCGATTAAAATAAATTGTGAAGTTTCAAAAAACAGTTCCAGGATCAAACGTAAGGAACGCATGAATTGCTTGTTTTGTTTACGTAGGCTTCGCCAGTAGAATTTGATATGCATAGCCTCGAGGACCGAGACGTAAACAGAGTGAGCACTATGTAGAATGGAAAATGAGTACTTTGCGGCAGAATCAGGATTTTCCAGTAAATGCTGCCCGATAGAAAAGTCGTGAACTGCTTGAGTGATTTTTCATTTACGGCTTTCACTACTTGAACGCAAATACGCAGGTACGTGTTGCGTAATCCGCGTCTGCAACCTCTGATTGGTTCGTCGTCCTATATGTACACCGCTTCGCATCGGCATTTGTATACAACTAAACTTGTGAAAATAGGACAAACAATTCAAGGTTTGAAGGAAGGGAATGCGGATTTTTTTTTTGTTTGGAAAACAGCACGCAACTTAAAAGCGTTGCAGCATGAAGAAATACAAGCTGGGATTCTCAGATAACAGCCGACGTTTTCTGCTAAGCCAAGGCAAATTCAAATAAATAGGGTACCTACTAGGTCCCAAAACCACTAGTTCTTTAAAGCGTCTGATTTTACAATTTATACTGCATTTGATAATAGGATAATTGATAGGATATGCATGTTTTTTTGTTTTTTTTTTAAATTCGGATACTAACAAGTTTTCCGACTAGCAAGGAGAACAGTTCATCAAGGCATGATGAATAATGGTGGAAATTAGGTCAATTTCTGTATATCGCAAACGAATACCTTTTGAAAAAGCGTTGGTCGAAACGATCTTAAAAGGTACAATAATGACGTTTATTTTGTTAAAGTCCGTTTTGCTTCTGTGAGTACAAGTCGTGTGTGTGTGTGTGTGTGTTTTTCCGGTTCCACTGAAACAGGAACTGAAATAAATCTCAGTGACACATTAAGAGTTAAAATGAAAATTTTAAGAATTAGAATCCTCAGGGTTTCAGAGAAAGCTTACCTACTACCAGTTCATCCAGAAGCTGAAGGAGTAGCTGTTGCATATTTTCACTGTGAAGTCGACACGCTAATAGAGTAGCAACAATGGCACCTGTTCCAACTCCGGAAACACGTTTGATGTTTCTGAGAATCCCCACCTTTTCCAACACCTTGAAAAGCAAGTTAAAAACGTTAACAATGTACCGTTGAAAATTTGTTCAAACATTAGAGATTTGAGTTTCTGAGGCGAGGAGTTATCGACTTCATTTATAGTCGGATTAAAGTATTCATCTTTATCAAGGTTTCTGCCGTTGTAATCTCCGGCCATTAAGTGTAACCATCAGATAACAAGGATGTTTCGATTTGACTCAATTATTCAATCTCGTCCCACTGTCCATGTCGTATTGTCCTCATCAGTATTGCCCAGTTATTCATAATCTTGTTTTCATCGAATGAGTGTACCACCAGTCAAGTTCATGAACCAATGATTTAATTCAATATACTATTGCCCTGTGGGACCATCCTAAATCTCAAGTTATTGAATCTTGTAGATTAAGGCGTTTGTTCATGAATTTGGTAACTTAGTACAGGCCAATAGATAAAAGACTAACAATAAGAGCTGGTGATAAAGAGAACAAGACGAGATCTCGAGATATGGACAACAGAACGGGAACCGTATACTCTTGAACACTAAAGATTCCGTCCAGAGTTCCCTTAAGGTTACCAGGATGGACAAACACCGGAAGTTAAGAGGGCACAATGGCTGAATTGTAAAGATTAGATATTAGTACATCTGTAAATGTTTATTCAGAACAAAGAATCTATATTGTGATATTACTGAGGTATAAAATCTCATTTTTACACAATAGTTAATAATGTACAAGAAAATCCACTATCAAATTTGTTAGTATAATTATACTTACGAGCACATCCCTTTACAGTGTACTTTAAATTCGTAAGGACTGAAAAGGTCTTATGGCAAGATGGTGACACTAAAAACGTACGGGATCTTTCGTTAATTCACCCCAAATAGTGTAAAGTTACTTATCGCAAATATTAATTCACCCCCCCCCCAAAAAAATAATAATTTAAGTTTTCGGCACTCTTGAAATTATAAATCTTAAGTCAATTTGCTTATCTTGCGGTGAAGTTAACAGCCTCCACATCATTGGACACAATCTGAGGCTGTATTTCCTTGGGATTACGATTATGTCGGAAAGGATATACATATTTGAAGAATGATCCCAATTATATTTCCTCTAAGTCACACTATGAATTTCGTTGACCCAGAAACACCAGCTAATCGAAAGTAACTGGAACACCAACAAATAAAAAGTGGTTCCACGCTCCTCAAAACCTTCTGATCAGAGGCCTCGCTGTTGGACGTAGTTTATCGTCTTACCCAGGACGCGTGTCCCAATGGAGGGATTTGAAAACAAGTCAGATTAATCTACCTTACAATACTTTCCCTACTTCAAGAATTTTTCAGAGAATGAACACAAATAATTCGGTGTTCATTATAGATGTATTAATGGCAGGCAAATTTACGAAAAAGGCTTAATTTCTGGCGTTATATGAAAAAATGCGAGTCGGGAAGTTTGCTACCTCGATTTTAAGTGCAGTACTAGATTGGCGGCTAGGTGCCATCTGTTGTCGCCTTGAATCTGTTTTTTCGTCAAAGTTTTTTATGGGATTCTTTAACACTTAGTATCCCATTCCGTCTGAATGGCTTTATCGATTACCTTGGGGTGAAATTATAAAAATTCGAACTCTTACTCACTAGAGAAGTATGTCCACATAATAAAAATCAAATTATAGAAACAATTATGCAACTTACTGGAGTCTGTTTACGCCAATTAAAATATTAGGATTCTTACCAAACAAAATCCAGAATCTTACCTTAGTTTATTTCTGTTCTAGACAATTTTTCTCGCAACTTTATAACGTCCTTGCAATGACTATTGCGGACACAAGATTTGACATCTAGAAATTCTTGGCAAAATATAAAGAAAAAATCTGTAGTTTTTTTCTATCCTAACTTGATATCTCAGCTTCAACCACTTTCCCTTAGCCGTAAGACAACTTCCTAGTGTCTTTTCATGGCAATTGCTCTGGCGAAGTTTCCTTCTTGGTACCGCGGCTTTATGAATTTAAAGTACAGTACTAGGTTGGCAGTTACGTCTCATCAGTTTACATTTGAAGTTTCTAGATTTAACAATACTTACATGCTAACAGTTTTTCTCAGTCTGTTATTGTTTAGTTCCGAAACTGTCCTTTTCGAGGATGTTACAGTTGCAAAAAACAAAAAAGTTCAGTCTAAATGTTGTTAGAAATTAATATCATGGATTCAGGAAATTCTCTAAATACAAAGGAAAAGTTCACCGGGGTAGCGTTTGTTAAACAATCGTTATTTGGCGTGCATGTATTTTACAAAGACTTGCCTGCGAGTTTAAGAAATTTTGAAGACAATGGATTCGGCACCAGTCTGAGAACGTGCAATTTGTGTGTGTGTGTGTGTGGGGGGGGAGATTAAAAAAAAAAAACAAAACAAAAAACACAGGAGCCAAATTAAAGTTGGTCTAGGCCAGTCATGGGCCACATGCGGCCCGTTTCGCCTTCTGAACGGTACGCCTAATTTAATGATGAAAATAACGTTTAAAATTTTGCGTTTAGTTACATTCTCACTTGTTCACTCACATTCTCTCTCACGGAAAGAGGTTGAGAAGCTAGTGACAAAGAGAAATAAGTTAAATGCCCGAGTAACCGTCCTTATTAAGGCTTGTTGCGTTTTTAATTAATTAACCTTTCGTTGAAAGTAACATTTTCAGCATTTTTAATTGTCGATTTTCATTAAGGACTATCATATGTGTAAAAATATTTAGCTTTAGAAACGAGAAATTTCCAATTACTTTTTCTCTGGAAAATAATTTAAGATATTTTAAGTAGTATTTTCAAATAAATAAATTTGAAACAAATTACACATAGCAGCACATGTCAGTGATAATATACGAATTTTTAAATTGTGGAAAAATATTCCAAGTAAAAGATCTCCCCACCTCCATTTCTAAGGTGGGTGGGTACGTGTATCATCTTTAGTGAAAATTTTCGCTTTACTTTCAACGAAAAGTTAATTTTTTTTTATCAGTGCGGCCGGTTTTATGACGAGCCATATGTCATTCGGCCCACTAGTCGGAAAATGTTGCCCATATCTGGTCTAGGCTTTCACTTTTAGTAGCCATTATTATTCCACTAGGGTGTGGGGGAGACATTTTAAGACCATGTTCGGACAAGAAAA